TCTCTAACACAGAGGAGGGCAAAAGCTTTTCACAAAACACAATACTACAATAATACTGAAGGAAGGGATCCAGGTTTGCTTTCCATTCTATTGTCTTATTCTGTCAGCTCTCTTGTCTCCCCAAATCCAGGCTTAATAATTTACAGCGGAAAGACATTTAATAAATAAGCGGCAAGATTGGAGCTGTCAGCTCTGCACAATGGGATTGTTTGCACCTTCCTGCTTGGCGTCAGCACCAACTCTCCCAGCTTGCTTCAGCTGAAACAATCCCATTTGCTATTTTCATGAAATTAGTTCCTCTGCAGTTTCTATTAATCAGAACATTCTTTGGAGAGAATTATACTGGGATTTTATCATCATCTGAGTTCAACCATTCTGTGAATCTGATGAATTTTTAGCACCTCTGAGTGGCAGAGAGGAGAAAACTTTTGGACTGGCCAGGGAGCTCTCCCCTGATGTCAGCTAAAACCTTACAGTCCCCAGAACCTGGATCAGTCTCCACCACCACCCATTTGAGCAGCTTTCTCCCCTAAACACATCTTCTTTACATCTAATAATTCAAAATCTTCTTAGGGTCATGGACCCTTACAAGTTTTATAAAAAGCTATGAATAGTCTGCCCAGAAAAGCCCACATACACACATGTACATTAAGCCTCACAATTCAGCAGGTTTGTATACACTCTCCCCTCCACATTTATGGCTTATCCAACAGGCTGGAGTAAAAAATGTGTGTGCTGTGATTTTCCAATCATTCTTACCTCCTTTAACTATCTTAGGTTGGAATAGAAACTCACTTACCTCCAAATTCCTTTGTTGAAACAGAGGAAAGAAATAATTTTAAAAAGAGAAAAGATGGAAAGTAAGTTTTTCATGATGGCTTCTATGGTTTGGATAAATGTCCCCTAAAGGCACATGGATGGTTTTGTCTCCTGCCCATGGCATATTGGTAGGTAGTGCAACCTTCAGGAAGTGGAGCCTAGTGGAAGGAAATTAGATCATTGAGGGTTTGTCCTAGAAGGAGATATTGGGATTCTAGCCCATTCCTCTTGGCTTCCCAACCCCTGTGAGGTGAGTAGCTTTGCTTCAGCAGCCACTCCCCATCATGATGTGCTGTCTCAATGCAGGTCCAAAAGCCATGGAACCAACTGTGGACTGAAATCTCTAAAACAATGAGCTAAAATAAACCTTTCTTTATTTTAAGTTGATTGTCTTGGGTATCTAGTTATAGTCATGAAGAGTTGACTAATGCAAAGGGCAAACACTTTTTGAGAAGTAAGAAAAATGGAATAATGATAACTCAAAATAGCTGAAATAAACCATAAATATCCAAGTGTCCCTTAATTAATATACACTACACTGTGTTAGTATGAAAGAGACATGAGAATTAATATTAGGAAAGGTTTTGATGAATTTTTCTTGCCTCCAAATATATATATATATATATATATATATATATATATATATATATATATATATCACCCACCCAATTCTAAATAAGGTAATCTCTGCATGAGAAAAGTCATAGCATGGATGAAAAAACTTTGGATCAATAGAGCCCAGCATCTAGTACCAGCTTTGTTTACGGATTATGTAATTTTAGGAAAGAAGTAACTTATCTTCATCAATGTGAATTTCTAAAAATTAACACTATTTTTTTTTCTAAATTCTATTTCAGTTAACAATCCATCAGAACTGATTTATTTAGGGATGTCTAAGATTGTAAGAATCAAATTTTTCTTAAAGAAAGTGAATATTGGGCTGGGGATGTGGCTCAAGCGGTAGCACGCTTGCCTGGCATGCGTGCGGCCCGGGTTCGATCCTCAGCACCACATACAAACAAAGATGTTGTGTCTGCCGAAAAACTAAAAATAAATAAATAAATATTAAAAAAAAAAAAAAACAACAAAAAAAAAAAAACAAAGAAAGTGAATATTTACGTTATGGACCCTACAGTCTCTGTGGCAACTGCCTAACTCTGCTGTTGCTGAGAAAGTAGACACAGACTACAAAAAAAAAAAAAAAAGACCATGCCTGTATTACAATAAAACATCATTATGGATAGTAAATTTTGAATTCTATTTAATTTTCATATGTCACAAATAGTTTTCTTCTTTTGATTTTCCCAACTATTTAAAAATGTAAAAAGTTGTCCTTTGTTTGCAAATCATACCAAAAATAGATGTCAGGCCAGATTAGGCCCACAAACCATAGTTTGTTGAACCCTGATCCATAACCTCAGGTAAATATTATGGTCTGAAAAATCTTGGTGGTTATTTTGGGTGGCCTCAGAAAGTTAGTAACTTGGCTTCACTATGAACAACTGTACTAAGGGGAAATTTCTGTTTACTCAATTTCCCAGTTAGCAGAATGGAATGGTAGTAGCTTTGGAGCGTCAGCTTAATAAAAGTTACTTCATTTTTTTGGTACACTTTTAGACCTATAAAATGCTGAAATAATCTTACATGAGAAAATATATACATAACATTCAGAACTCCCTGGCTGAAAAAAAATTTGATAACTATAAAAAGAGCAAGAAAGCTTCACATCTTCTCTTGAAATTACCCACGCTTCATAAACCTAGTGACCTCTTTTTGTTGCCCTTCTAGCTCTATCAGGCAGAGTAACAAATGATTTTACACTGAGTAGAAGGAAATAAACATTGCTTTTTGTTGCTTTTGTTGTTGCTTTTACTTGTTTTTTAGGAGACAAGAAAATTATAACTTAATAAAATGACATGCATATGATACCTATGTGCATTCTACAAGTACCCACACACACATTCTATACAGCTGAGATGGGGAGTGATGTGAAGAGGTACAGTAAAACATACAGAAGACAATTTTTAAAAAGATAAAGGTTGTATGATCAAGTAATCAATCTTGTCTAGACTGGGGCACACAACTTCAGTTCAGAGATGGCAGAAGATGGTGACAGAACTTCTCTCAATTTCATATCATTGAACCAGAAAACAAATACCTACACTCAGTTAAGAGGTAAGATGGGGGAGGAGCTTGGGATAAAAATCCCTTCTTTTGGGAGAGAAAACTTAGAAATGTTATGTCCATTCAGGAAGATGTAAAAAGCTGGGAATGCCTCCTCATTCATGCCCATCCTTAATTTATAATTTAAATTTAATCATTAGAAGTAGAAGGAACTTAACATTCTCAATCTCAGACTTTTGACCACTTTCCCCCAAAACTGATTCTGACCAGTTTAGCTTCAGATTATTTTCCACTATTTGTTTCCATGTTATTCTGCAAATACTCAGTGCTCATTCTTCTTTTAGCCTCCTTGTTCAAACTATTTCTTCTCCCTAAATTCCTTTCCATCTCTATTATATCTTTCTGATTTCTATCCATAAGCAAGGGTCCAGCTTCATTCTTGCTCTACCATGCAGACACACCCACATTAACTCCAGTCAAAGCAAAATTTCGTTGGAATATACAAGAACAAAAATACAATAATGCAAAAACTGCAAAATGCTCTGAAACATGAGGTATCATTACCTTTTGGAGTAATGAGCTGTAAATTAGTTTTGACCCACTGTTATATCTTGCTTTAAAGTGCTTGCTAGTTGTTTCCTGTGTTCTCAACCTAACATTAGAAAACCACTCAAACCTCATTAAGGCGTTGTATCATATTTCTTGAGTATCTTCACAGTCTCTAATGATGCATATACTACAGTTAACACTCAAGTCCAATGAAATTAATTAATCAAAATAATGGCTTTTTTAACCACAGAGCTCCTCACTGGACCAACTAAGGTTAGGATGTTAAACACATTAAGAAATCATTTGTTAGTTTATGACACTGCAAATGAACCACTGACAGAATAAACTTTATGTCGGCAATCAATGAAATTCACCCATCTTCCGTTTCATTCATAAAGCTGATTCAGGAGTTGAATTCTCTAATTTGGAGATTCAGATTGAATAGTTGATTTATGGTATTTCCATAGTTTGTCTAAGGACAAAGGTTTAAATACTTGCTCTCAAATTTGGTACTGTTTGTTGTTTGTTTTGGTACCGGGGATTGAACTCAGGGGAGCTCGACATGAGCCACATCCCCAGCTCTATTGTATTTTATTTAGAGACAGGGTCACACTGAGTTGCCTGGCGCCTCGCTTTCGCTGAGGCTGGCTTTGAACTCACCAGCCTCCGGATCCGCTGGTATTACAGGCGTTCGCCAGCGTGTCCGGCTGGTATTGTTTGTTTGTTTTCCCTTCCTGATTCCACAGTGGTGCACACAGACTTTCTCCTGGTTCCTTTGATTGGCCTGATGGATGGCTCTTTGGGTCTATGGGCAATTCTGGCTGGCAGTTAGGTAACAGCAGTCTGCTAGAAGCGTGGACCAGTCCCAGTTGCAGCTGCCCGGAAGAGTGGCGGCAAAGGATTTACTTGATTGACCCTACACCTCTTTCCCAGTCTGTAGACTTGGGTAGAATGATCCTTGCCTCAGTCTACTTCGAAGTAGCTACCGGCTATAACGCCAAATAAAAGAAGTCAAGGTAAGGATAAATGAAACGCGACGTTATTACAACTAGCGCTTTGGACTCACTTCCCGCCAAGTGGATTTTTAGCGACTTTTTCTGACTAGGCCTAGAAACACCACTGAAAACCTGCGCCCCGCCCGAATCAGTGGGTAGGGGACTGAGAGGTGTATCAGACTGCGGAACTTGCACTGATGTCTGTACAGGTCTCGGAACTTGGAGATGGGGGCTACTTGTCCTAGCCGCTTCACCGCGGGGCTGTATAGTCTCCATGGAGACCGCGAAGGAAACCTGGAGAAACCGCTCTCCGGTCCAAAAGCCCGCCCTCAGGCAACACAAACCAATGGTCCAGCGGGTTAGAGAGAATAATGTGATTGACAGTGGTATGGGGCGTGGTGAGGCGAATCTATCCAATCGAAGTTGAGCCAAGGCCCAAACCGACCAGCATTGACCAATGGAAATGCTGAACTGAGGACAATGTGCCCACCCACTACACTTGGCGTTGCCTGGAGTCGCGGCAAGTGTAAGCTAATGAGAGGAAAGCTGGGCGTTGAAAGAGCAGCACTGATTAGCGAATCGGAAATCGCCTTAATGAAAGCCCACTTGTGATTCGTTCTAAGTAGATCAAAGCCTCGGCGGACTGGAACCAGCGGGACATTGAGGTATGAGTCTGGTCCGGGGAAATGGGGTAACCCGGGAACCCAATGAGGCGGGCGGCAGTGAGGAAAGCCGGACAGTTGCGGAGTAGCGAGAAGGGTGGAGACTCCGGCTGTGGAGGCTGGAAAACAGTGTGGACGGGCGGTGCGCGGACATCACAGACTACCCTTACCGCGGGGTCTGGGCCCAAGACCCGGAGGCTAATAAATTCTTAATAGAATGCCGAAAAGGAGGGACTGTTTTCTGTATCATGCTCTTAAGAAAGTAAAGTGTCAGTGCTTTCGTTTTCCTTTTGTCTGAAACCTTAATCCCTCTCCACCTGCTAGGAGGTAGTCAGGTGAGCATTCTGATGAGACGTGCGGGCACTCTTTTCCTTTTGCCAGTTTGAATCAGCAATCGGGCCGGGGAGAGTAGAGGAACTCCTAGCAGCCCGGTGTTTCCCGGCTGCAGTGCTGGTAGCTGATGGGTGATGGAGCTAGCGGACTGAATCTGTCACTTTCAAAACGCAACCATGACCTGGAAAGGGGTGCAAGGACAGAATCAGAATCCATGGACGAGCCCCCCCCCCCCCATTTCTAACAGTGTGTTAAGTAAAAGTGGACGTCACATCCGTGGCATTTAGGTAGCTTGACAATTGATTTTTGTCCCAGACGTGCATGGGACTTAATAAAGCTGGAGGCGATATCTTAATATTTTAAAATTCAAATGATAAATATTTAAAGTAGAAAAATAAAAATGTGAAAGTCCTCTGATTATTTTTAAGTGTTTGGGACAAGCTATAGAAAAAAATTGAAAAGGATTCCTTCAGAAGGGCCATTCACTCCTGTAATCCATTGTTTTCTTCTGTTGCTTTCAAGGGCTTGAGTCCACGTGAAAATCGGGCAATGGGTGAGGTATCACCCATCACCAGCAGCTATTAAGCTTTATTACCCTCTACGGAGTCCATATTTGTCCTGGACAGTAAGTCATCTTATAATAGCCATTAGTATTCTCACTAAGATTCTCAACTTAGTGCTGGGTGCTGTATTCTTAGTAAACTAGGGTCAGTCTCCTCACTGTGTGCTTCTCTATCAGATTTCTCTCAAAGGGCATGTAGAACCAACCTTAGATAAATGACAAATACAAATACATCCAAAAGGGTTTGAAGAAACTTTCTTTAAAAAAAAAAAAAAAAGATCTCACAGCATCAACATAGAGGGAAAAAAATTGATCCTATATTGGGTCTTGTTGTCAGCTACTGAACACTGTTCAAATTTAGACAGTGTTTTTATCTACTTGCTACAGATATTGCTGGGCTTATGGTGTATACCTGTAGTCCTAGCAACTCAGGAGGTTGAGGCAAGAGGATCCACAAGTTCAAGGCCAGCCTGGGCATTGAAAGGTCAAGGCTTCATGTCTCAAAATAAAATAAAATAGAATGGACTGGGGATATATAGCTCAGTGGTAGAGTGCTTATATGAGGAGGACCTAAGTTCAACACCCATTACTGCAAAATAAATGAATTCATAAGTACATGCCACATTTATTAAGTAAATGGACTTACTCTTAAAATCAGGGTGACTAAACCATCAATTCTCCAAGATTTGAAGAAGTCCTGAATATTCAATAAAAACTTTACTTTTTATCATATCTGACTCAAAAATAATAATTTAACTATTCCAATAGAGGAAATGAGCAAAAGTATTATTCTCATATTGAATTAACAAAATGAAATGCCTAGATGTTCATTTCTCTACAGCATCTTTCTTTAGTATACCCAACCCCTTCCTTTCTACGTATAGTAAGAAAATGTGTAGTTTGGTTATAAAGTCATGAACCTCATTCTTAGAATAGCTAATTCTAGTATTAGTATTTATCTCATACTTGAAAGCTGTAACCCAGTGTCTATAGAACCCAGTGTCTCCTGAGTTTTTAAGTTTCTGTGGGATATTAAAGGGATATGTTTCAAATGATTCTGTTTTAACTACCATTATCCTATATTCTAAGATGATAGAGTTGGTCTAGGTCTTACAGGTTATTGTGCAATATCATAAAGAGCACCAATTAACCTTAAGTAGTTATTTTCTTAGAGGTATCAGCCCAATCAACCAAACTCAGAAATATGAGTAATTTCTAAAACCTTCTCCTTAGGTTTTCTATTTCCACAACCAAGGAAAGCTTATACCCTCATCACCTCTCTGAAGAACTATTGGTCACCCATCTCTGATCTTGATCCCAATTCATGTGTACTCTGTCATCAGGTAACTTTTTAAAACTAAACTTGAGAATATTACATTTGATAGTATATCAAATACCTGTGTTCCAGATTAATAAATATTCACTTTCTGGCTTATCTATTTAAGCTTTTAATTTTAAAGAAATAAAAATCTCATAGATCTAGTTTAGATCCCTTTTCTTCCCTTTCCTCTCCTCTTTCCTTCCTTTCCCCAGAGAGGCAAATACTCTCCTGAAATTATATAATTAATGCTCATGTTTTTATGCTTTTGCTGTATATATGTACATCCTAAGCAATATGTATTATTAAAGTTTATTTTAATTTTTAACTACAAATAGTTATATTGTGGATTTCATTTGCGATTTTTATCACTCAACATTGGTTTTTAGCTATATTTATAGCAGTACATATAGATCAAGTTCATTCATTTGAAGTGTTCATTATGAATATAAAATATTGTATTCATTTCCTTATTGATGAACATTTCAGGGTTTTTTTTTTTCCTGTTGTTATGCTATCAAGAATAAAGTCGTAGTGATGACCCAAGAGTTTTTCCAGAACACTAGTTCTTCATGGAGGTGGTACTGCCTTGGATTGGGAGTATTTTGGGATTTGTGTAGACATATTTAGTTATTATCATTGGAAGGAAGTATTGGAATTTACCTAGCAGGGCTGGGGATGCAAGGTGTTCCATAATGCACGGGACAGTCATCAGGTAAAGAATTGTCCTCCATCCTATACTACTTTTCCTCAGGGTATTCGATTCTAATTATCTGGGCCCAGAACCTAACTCTATTTTTCATATTAACATAATGTATTTTTTGGCACAGTTTAATATAGTAAAATTTCCAGGAATGAAACTCTAATGTAAATCAAGGGAAAATTATACTAATTTGTGGTTTGGAACTTTAACAAGAGTTGTTCCTCACTCTAGAAAAATCACATAACTAAAGGCAGCACAGCTCGTGGTATTTGAGTTGCCAGCACAACACACCTGCATAGTCTGCATTTGTAGCTTTTGCGTTCATGGTGATTCTAAGTTTAGGTGCGAGCATCTGACTACTGTACTTCATTATGTATTCTAGTGTAGTCAGCCTGAACATTCATATTTTTAAACATATGCTATTTCATTATGAATTAGTTCCATTTAAAATTGGCTTCTGTATATGATATAATGTAGAGGTCTAGTTTTATTATTTTCCGGTTGGATAATCATTTGTCCCACCACCAGCTATGAAATCCTTTACCCACTGAATCGCAGAGCCAACTCCTTCCTGCATGAAGTTCTGACAAATGCATGGATCTGTTTCTAGGTTCTCAATTTCATGCCGCTGGTCCATGTGTCTTTGTGCCACTATCACACTGTTTTAATTACCTTGGTTTTATAATGTGTCTTGTGGCAGTTGGTAACAAGAAAGGCAAGTTGCCATTCTACTTCTCAAAATTGTTCTGGCTATTCTTGGGTTTTTACTCATATGAATTTAGGATTCATTTTCAAGTTCTACAAAAATTATTTTTAGATTTTGGTTAGAATTGCATTAAATGTATAGGTTAAAGAAAATTAAGATCTTTGAATTGAACCATCTAGCAACATGGGTTATTTTTTTATTCAGGTCTACTTTATTTCTCTGTCCAGGTGCTTCTTAGAAAACAATCTTTAATAAGATTTTATAATTTTAACTACAATAATCTTACAAATCTTTTGTTACATTTATTCACACTTACATACATATACATACACATATTTTTCTAGTGTGAAGGTTTCCAATATATTCAAAAGTATAAAAATAGTATAGCCAACATCAACACTCTCTTCACCCAGTTTCAACAACTAGCTCACAACCAGTCTTATTTCATGTTAGCTACTTCACTTCCCCTCCCCCAGAGAATATGAAGCTCCTAGTCACATTTTCTATTCTCTGATGTGTTACATGTATATATGTGTATATCCTAAAGAGCCTTCAATAGCTTTTTTTTAAAGAGAGAGAGAGAATTTTAATATTTATTTTTAAATTTTCGGCGGACACAACATCTTTGTTTGTATGTGGTGCTGAGGATCGAACCTGGGCCCGCATGCATGCCAGGCAAGCGTGCTACCGCTTGAGCCATATCCCCAGCCCAATAGCTTTTTTTTTTTTTTTTAATTCGCTTAAAAAAACCCATAATTCCCTAATATCATCAAATATCCAGATACTGTTGAAATTTCTCCAGTCATCTTTTAAAAGGTTTTCTTTTTTATACTAGCTTTTTTGAATCAAGACCCAAACAGAGTCCATATATTGCATTTGATTGATATGTCTCTTAAGATTCTTCAAAAGAAACCTTTCAGTGAAGTATAACACACATACAGAAAAGTGTACACATCCTAAATGTATAGCTAGGTACAGTTTACCAAAATGAGTGAATCCAGGTAACCCACACCCAGATCAATAAACAAAATTTTATCAGCACTCCAGAACCTCTTTCAGCTCCCTCCAGTCACTACTTTCTGAATGGAAAACATACTCTTTGACTTCTAACCCCCCAAAGTAGTTTGAACTTTTTTTGAACATTATATAAATGGAATCAAACAGTATAAACTTTTTTGCCTCTGTCATTTTACACTTAGTATTTGTGAAATTCATCCAAGTTCATTCTTATTGCTTTATTCTATTGCATTGTATGAAAGAATTTTGAAACATATTTATCCTTTGTATTGGTGGACATGTGGGTTGTTTCCTTTTTCAGCTATTTCAGATAGGGTTGGAATGAACTTCTTGTACATGGGTTTTGAACTTCTGTGTGCATCTCTGTTAGAAATACAACTGGGAATAGAAGAGCTGGATCTGCGGGACATGAATTTTCAGGTTTGATTGATACTGTCAGTAGTCTCCAAAGCAGTTATAACAATTTACACTCTTACCACGGTGTTTGAGGGTTCCAATTAATCTACATCTTTACTAACACTTATGTTGTCTGTCATTTTCATTTCGGCCATTCTTGCAGGTATGTAGGAGTAATGAATTTTGGTTTTTATTTGCAATTTCCTGATGGCTAATGAAGTTGAACTGCTTTTCACATATTGGTCATTTGGATAACCTCTTTTGTCAAGTGTTTATTTTTATTTTTTATCTGCTTGATCTGTTGATTCTAAGATAGTTACATTAAAATCTTCCACTAAATTTGTGGCTTTGTTTATTGTAATGTTATGTCATTTATGTTAGGTTTATATTTATGTCATTTATGTCACTTATGTTAGGTTCATATTTATTTCAAGTTGTGTCTTTTTGCCAAATTATTCCTTTTGTGATTATTCTTTTTTTTTTAAATACTTTTAGTTGTATATGGACACAATACTTGTATTTTTTATATGATGCTGAGAATTGAACCCAGTGCTTCACATATGCTAGGCAAGCTTTCTACCACTGAGCTACAAACCCAGCCTGTGATTATTATTATTATTAATATTTTTCTTTTTTTTTTATTAATTTTTTATTGTGGGTTATTCAAAACATTACAAATTTCTTGACATATCATATTCCACACTTTGATTCAAGTGGGTTATGAACTCCCACCTTCACCCCATACACAGATTGCAGAATCACATCAGTTACACATCCATTGATTTACATATTGCCATACTAGTGTCTGTTGTGCTCCGCTGCCTTTCCCATCCTCCACCCTCCCCCCTCCCCACCTCTCCCCTCCCCTCCCCTCCTCTCTCTCTACCCCCTCCACTGTATAACCCTGAGGGTCTCCTTCCATTACCATGCAATTTCCCTTCTATCTCCCTTTCCCTCCCACCTCTCATCCCTGTTAAATGTTAATCTTCTTCTCCTGCTCTTCGTCCCTACTCTGATCTTAGTTACTCTCCTTATAACAAAGAAGACATTTGGCATTTGTTTTTTAGGGATTGGCTAGCTTCACTTAGCATAATCTGCTCTAATGCCATCCATTTCCCTGTAAATTCTATGATTTTGTCATTTTTTAATGCAGAGTAATACTCCATTGTGTATAAATGCCACATTTTTTTTATCCATTCGTCTATTGGAGGGCATCTAGGTTGGTTCCACAGTCTTGCTATTGTGAACTGTGCTGCTATGAACATCGATGTAGCAGTGTCCCTGTAGCATGCTCTTTTTAGGTCTTTAGGGAATAGACCAAGAAGGGGAATAGCTGGGTCAAATGGTGGCTCCATTCCCAGCTTTCCAAGAAATCTCCATACTGCTTTCCAAATTGGCTGCACCAATCTGCAGTCCCACCAGCAATGTACAAGTGTACCCTTTTCCCCACATCCTCGCCAGCACTTGTTGTTTGACTTCATAATGGCTGCCAATCTTACTGGAGTGAGATGGTATCTTAGGGTGGTTTTGATTTGCATTTCTCTGACAGCTAGAGATGTTGAGCATTTTTTCATGTACTTGTTGATTGACTGTATGTCCTCCTCTGAGAAGTGTCTGTTCAGGTCCTTGGCCCATTTGTTGATTGGGTTGTTTGTTCTCTTATTGTCTAATTTTTTGAGTTCTTTGTATACTCTGGATATTAGGGCTCTATCTGAAGTGTGAGGAGTAAAGATTTGTTCCCAGGATGTAGGCTCCCTATTTACCTCTCTTATTGTTTCTTTTGCTGAGAAAAAACTTTTTAGTTTAAGTAAGTCCCATTTGTTGATTCTAGTTATTAACTTTTGTGCTATGGGTGTCCTATTGAGGAATTTGGAGCCCGACCCCACCGACTGTAGATCGTAGCCAACTTTTTCTTCCATCAGATGGCGCGTCTCTGATTTGATATCAAGCTCCTTGATCCATTTTGAATTCACTTTTGTGCATGGCGAGAGAAAGGGATTCAGTTTCATTTTGTTGCATATGGATTTCCAGTTTTCCCAGCACCATTTGTTGAAGATGCTATCCTTCCTCCATTGCATGCTTTTAGCCCCTTTATCAAATATAAGATAGTTGTAGTTTTGTGGATTGGTTTCTGTGTCCTCTATTCTGTACCATTGGTCCACCCGCCTGTTTTGGTACCAGTACCATGCTGTTTTTGTTACTA